TTCTGGTACCTCTGCTGACTCAGTTGTTACTCAGAGCAGCCTGGGGAGAAGTTGGCCTTGGTATGAATGTGTGAGTGGACCCCCAAAGACTTAGTGGCTCTTGCATCCATCCCGGTAAATTTTATCTTGAAGGAATAGCTGAGCTGTGCACGTCCATGGCTGCCACCACGGTCTACAGTCCACAGTTTACACCATGTATCACATGTGTTCGCCAGTCCTCTCCTCCGTGAAAGGAAACTTGGAAGAAGGAGGCTGGTGGGATTAACTGTAGCCCCTCTTACCGTCGTGGTCTGGGGACCCTCCATGGATCTTATCACCTCCATCCTCTACCGTGTGGTCTGGATTCCCCTCACCCTCAGCCGGCAGCTCTGAAAGCCTCGGTGACTTAGCTCTTGTGACCCGAGCCCTCTTTCCAGAGTGATCCAGATGGTCTCAGCCTCTGGTAACCATGCTCTACTCAGACCACTCATAGTTACAACTAGGTACGGAGGACCTAGAAGCTCCCCAGTGAGTCACCTGAGTTCCATGCATGTTTCCCTCTGTTCTCATCGTGGGTAAGGCCAAGGGGGATCCTCTGACACCACACCTCGCCCACCAGGAGATGTAACCAGGACCTTACTGCAGGGCGTGGAGATGGTGTGAACAGCGATATTGTCTCCAGTTACACTCTTGGTGGAGGAGGGGCAGTGTCAGGGGCTTCCACTGGGCCATCGTCTCCACTGGGATAGCTTGAGGGCCAAGCATCCAGCGTGAGGTTACTCCACTGCCAATTAGATCCGTATAAATTATACATCTGGACCAGGCAAATGGCTACTGGGTGGATCTTTGAACCTAATGGACCTGCTGTTAACAGAACTTCGGGCAGGACTACTGTATAGATCCTGTAATAAGGTTCCCACTCTTAACTGGGTTGACGTGATGGCGTTTTGGTCTCCAGATGTCAATATCAACTCCGATCTTGTGTTCAGTAGTGCTTGAAACATACGTATTCCCCTCTGCCTAGTGTGGTCACCTGAGAGAAGCCTGTGGGGCCCTTTGGAGAAGGACTGGTAGAATCATCACAAGAGGAGGGACCTGCCTCCTCTTCAGTCTGTGGGGACCTGATCTGAAAATTGACTCTGTCTGGTCCAAGAAAAAAGGGAGGAATATTGGCTACTTACTGGAATAAACACCCTTATCTCCTGATTGTCCATTCTTGGTTCCGTCTAACACCACATTTTCTGTTTTCTGTATATGGTGAAAAATGCAAGTCTAATTTTAAAGCCGACTCATAAAGGTGAACGGGTCTTACCTATCTCGTGCAACGGGCTGAGTAAATTCACAAAGTAGAGACTAAGGTGGGGAAGCTCAGCTGCCTGAAACTTCCCCCTGGTGGGCAGGACTTCAGACAGAAGGAGTGGGTTCCTGGACCTGAGGGCAGTCTTTAGGGGTTTAGAGAGTTCTGTGTGATGTATATTATGTCATCTCACAGCCAGATCACTTTTCATCTTGTGGCAAAAGCATCTTGACTGTGAAGTCGCACTGGCACCTGCCGTGGCATATGCTGGGACCACTGAGTTGACTCGCTGGTACAAACTTTCAGCTATAAAATGAATAAACTTTGACCATCTAATGGAAAACATGGTGATTATAGTTGATAACACTGTATTGTTATAATTGAAATTTGCTAAGAGAATAGAACTTAAATGTTCTCCCCTCAAAAATATATATGTCAGGTGATTGATGTCTTAATAAAGTATGTGGGGGAGTCCTTGCATATGTGTATCAAAAGACCACAGTGTACACTTTAAATATCTTACCATTTTATATGTCAATTATATCTCTTAATAAACTGAAATTTTTTTTTAAAAAAAGAGTAATTAGGGGACATTTCAGACCAATATCTGTGCTCAGTCAGTTATTCATTTACTGATTCCTTATACTTGTTTATTGGAGCATTCTTGGTTTTAACAAATCAAAAAAACAGATTTCTAAATTAAACAGAGAACTATGAGTTAAAGAAAATCTAGAATAATCTTCATTTTCTGAGCGTGAAGGGAGAGGAATTAAGAGGTTATAGAAAATGTTACATTTCTACATTGCCTGAGTAGTTTGCAATTCAGGTGTGTTATCATATTACTTTATAATGAAAAAGTGAAAAATTAATTGGCCAAAATAGAAGGAAGCATTAAATGAAAGTGATGGAAAGCATGACCTTAACATTAAAATTTTAATTACTGCCTTCAAGTTTTCAAAAGGACTGTCTTTTGTGCGATGATATAAAAGGTAATAGGTCTTACAGCTGATGCTTTGCAGCCTTCGGATGTCACAGGCCCCGTTATAAACAAATGACCCATTCTTTCCTTAGCTTTCCCGGCCTCAGAGATTTCCTGAATCTTACCAAAACGAATTGGACAATCTTGTCATGGTTCTGTCTGACCACGTGATTTGGAAAAACAAAGACGCACTTGAAGAAACAAGAAGGGCAAACCACAGCGTCGCCAGATTTCTTAAGGTACAGTTAGTTAACACAAGCTCACGGTTGCATTGAAGCCCCCGTGACAGTGGATGCAAATTACGTGAAATGTTCATTGTCATGGCTTCATTTATGATGAGGAGTCACGACCATCACTGTGAGATGAGTACTTCCACCTCTACTGCTTTCCTGCTTGAAATACCTTTTGAGATTCTTTTTCCAATTTGGAGTCACATAGAACAACAGCCAAGGTTAGAGAAACCTGTCTACTTGAGTGTTGCCAAATGTCGTTCTTCTTTATTTTTTTTAAAGAAGTGGGATTTTTAAAGGAGAAGCTGCACTGTGGCAACATTATTTTCTTGGCCGTTTCTGCCTTTGAAGTGAGGTTTTGGCTTGGCTATAGTTCTAACGATGATGCCAGAGAGCCACTTTGGGAACATTTGGGGGAATTTAGCATTTTTGTTTTATTACCTTCAGGGTCTTTCATACATGATGAAAATATCATGCACCAATCACATAAAAGGAAAATTATCAAAGTGCTGAGCAACATAAAGTGCACATATATATGTATACAGATATTTAGCAGTCTTTCTTTGAATTACAGGTATTCATATTTAATTGAGAAGAAAAACACGCTTAGCCCAAAAAAAGCTAATGTAGAATAATGGTATATCAGTTAACAGATAATATATTCAACCAGAAAGATATTTTTCTTCTACTCCTTCTTTTTCCCAACTATGGTAACCTCAACGAAGCCACTTGTCCTGTTTCTTTATGGTAGACACCAGGACACATTGGAGAGGTGTGACTGTTTATAAACAAATACTGGTAACATAAAGACAAGAAGCTGTAGGGGTGGATGGAAAACTGGTCTAAGTTGCCTTTGATGAGTTTTAATCTAGCTTAATTTCTTTTTTAATGTATTAAATGCAGTTTCAAATTGCATACCATATCTGATCTCATCTTGAATTTTTTTCCTCAATGTTTTGCCTCTTAATTTTGCTTTTTGCTTTTTTTCTGAAAAGAGAAGGGGATGGTTGGGCTTAAGGAGGAAGAGCATAAAGGAGAAAAAAATTACTCTTGTTTTCTACCACATTTTAAGACTTATAAGAATAAAGTTTATTATTCTGCTAGCAGTATATTTGAAGGGATTGATGGAAAAGAAAATTTGGAAAAATTGACATATCATCCAGTTTATAAGCAAATTGCTTTTAAGAAATATCTGCAGTATTCTTCCCCAAACTGC